ATACTTCCCTCCTCCTCCCTTCTCTTTTTTTTCCCTCCATTTTGCATTTTTTTTAAGAACACATATGTTTGATACACAGCTCTGTGCAGTGTGATAAGACACGGACTTCTCTGAGGTCACTCATTTCAGTCTTTCGCTTTTATTCTTTTGAATTTGTTTCAAACCAATACTTTTGCATATTGCAGAAGAAAAAGAATACAGAACCTTTAGAAATGTTTATGAATTCAAGAGGCAGTTTGCTGGCCTTTACTACTCATTCTTCCCACGTAGAAATGCCTTTCACTTGTCAATGGTGAATGGCTGTTTATGGCATGAATCTTTTACTATGCAGACACGAAGACAACAGGTGCTGGAAAGAATGATGTGAGTTTTAACTTCTGCCTAGAAGTTTAGAACTCTCCTTTGAGGAAAAGTTGCACAACTATGTGTAAGTATATGTATTTCAATTAATTTTTTTGTCCCTCTCCTTATTATAGATCCACTTACTCTGGCCTTTTGTGACCTTTATTTGAAAAGTACTGTTTACATTCCACTCCAAAGTACATGCCAATGATCCCACTTTAGAGTTATGGGAGTTGGCACATATGTCTGAAGACAGATTTTGTCCTCATCTCGGAGCTAAGATTGAAGGTTTTTTTTCTCTTTTGGCAGGAAGCAGAAATTTGTAATCTTGCATCTTCACAAGGGTGTGATTCTCTAATGTTCTATGCACACCCTGAGGTCTTGCTTTCTTATCAGTACAACAGGAAAGCTCTAACCGCCATCCAGACATCTTGCAAGAACAGCCCCAGAATAATCTGGATTTTACTGAGAACTGCTCTAAGTAATAATGTTATAGCAACTTTCTCTTCTTTTCCTATGGCATTTGAAGAAACCATCGGGCTTCTTACAGTTTGCACTACTGTAGCTGCTTTTGCTTCATCCTTTGATGTTGAAGAGATGAGGTTGCAAAGAGACTGCTCGAGTCATTGACTGTGGTACTGTTGAACTAATATGTGCTTTTTTTACCACTGGCATAGCATGTCTAGTTCCATGTGCAAGCTCAGGTGAAATTTGAAAGCTTAACATGGAAACCTGCTAGTCAATAAGCTGCCACAAATACTAATAGTGTGTGCTTCTTCATTTAGTAGTTCAGAAGCACTGCTTAATAAAAGAACCTTGAAGACTTTCTTAAAAATTGAGGTGATCAAAAGGCAGCTCTGTGACTCTGCCACAGATCAGGCAGGAGAATTTCTCTTTGAGTAGTTGTTCACCTTTTCTGAAGCCTAGATCTATGACACTGGAACAAAAGCTTCTGAGACTGCTTTGTTTTGGAGTATAACCCCTTGCAGCTCATCCACATGGGAACCGGTGACTCTGGCAGTGAGACCTTCAGTCCTCAAGTATGTTCCTAGAGAGCACTGAGAGTGTGAGGTAAGTGCATGGGTGCCCAAGTGATGATGGTCTCAAACCTGCTGCTCAAAGACTTGTGCAAAACGTGGCATGCACTATGCATTGCCTCTTGCATTTGTGGCTAGTGTTGCAATCAGGGTTTCAGCTTCTGTATCTACAAGACCCATTCTCAGACATGAGGACTACTGGGGTGAGAAGAGATCCATCAGGCAACTCAGCAATCTCAGAATCTGCTATAAGGGCAACACTACCGAGTGCAAGCAATCCACGAAGTAGCTGGACTACATCAACAATGACTTTTTCAGATGTGTTTGGAACAGACAAACTAATGAAAAAAATCTGATGGACTTGTTACTCAAATAAGCAAAAGCTGATCAGGGATATGATAGATGGTGCTAGTTACGACTATAATGGCCATAAAATAGTTAAGTTTATTATCCTAGGAGAAATGCAGCAGGTAAACAGGAGATTTAGGAGCCAGAATTTTAGGGAAACTGACTTCAGCCTGTTCTGGGAATTGGTAGACAGGATCCTAATGGAGATTATTTTGAGGGGCAAAGGCTACCTTGAAGGACAGAGAACTGGCTGTTGCTCATTGGCAATTTCCTTAAAGCACAAGAATGATCCCTATTAGTGTGCAAGATTTTAAGCAAGGTCCAGCAAAAAGGAAAGTCAAGCTCATATAGAGCCACACTGAATAAAAGCACCATCAGCAGCTCTGAAAGTACTACTATTGCCCTTTACTCAGCACTTGTGACAACATACCTGGAACACTGTGTCCAGTTTGAAACTCGCCAGTGAAAGAGTGATACTGTTAAACTGATGACTGCCAAAATGGTTGTTAGAGGGATGGAGGACAAGAAGAGGCTCATCTGGCAAGTTTTAGTCTAAGGAAGAAAATGGTCTTTATCTTTCTAAATGGAGGTATAGAGAAAATAGGAGATAAAGTCTTCAGAGAATTGCACAGTGAAATAATTAGACATAATGGTTACAAGTTGTAGCAAAGAAAATGTCAAGTGCACATATGGAAAAAAATCACAAACTGGTCAAAGTAGGGCAAGTATTCAAAGGTGTTGTGGATTATCAATTAGTGGCTATTTTCAAAACTTGACTAGATAAGGCTCTGTGCTGCCTTATTTTTGAAGCCTGCCCTGCTGAGAATGGGAAATGAAATGTGATTGCCTTAAGAGATTTTTTACAACTGAAATTTATTCTATGTCATTCAGGATCTTTGCTTAGGCTATCTTCACAGGCTCTGTCAAGTGCTTTGTAAGGCAAATCATTCTTCTTTAGCAGAAATTAGGTGAATTGTCTGTACCCATTTTGTCAATTAAGATTGCAAAAGGATACAAATACCTCAGTCCAGTAGTAGCTATTAAAATTGCTTCATCTTGTAATCTTCTTTAAGGACACACAAGAGTAAGAATGTGACCATTCTTCCTATCTTCTGCTTTCAGACTTCCACAGAAAAAACTGTGGTGACTAACTTCCTTCTCAATAGCCTACTTCCAGTATAACTGCTAATTGCACTTTGGCAGCAAGATATGGACATGTCTTAGACACCTTGGTTATGTGAGTATGCTGACTTGTGAGAAGAGCTGAGAGCATCAAACTTTTGGGTTTGGTTTTGTAGATGTTCTGAATTTTTGAATAGGATAATGATATTTACAGTAAGTACATTTCCCAAGCAGCTCTGTCCTACTGGTATAATGGAGCAGATGCAGAAGAGCTGTCAGGATCTCTATGTCCACATCCAAGCTAAAATATCTTGTGCTAGCCTAATGGGCCCTGTACTCTGTTGTCATCACTTTCTTTTGGGAAATCATAGAAGAATTTTACTAAATGCTCTTGCTGTTCAACAAGACAAACAATAATATTTTAAATAAAACAGCTCTGCTCAATGAAGCTAGTAAAGGAATTAGAAAACTAGACTTAAGAGGAGCAGCTGTCATCTCATTACTCTACACGAAAGGAAGTTTCAGTAAGGAGGGTGTTGGTTTCTTTTCTCAGATAACAAGTGATAGAGTAAGTTATGCCAGCAGAAATTTAGATTGAACATTAAGCAAAATTTCTTCACAGGGAGTTTGGTAAAGTATTGGAACACACTGCCCAGGAGTGTGGAGTCTGCATACTTGAAGGCATTGAAGAGATGTGTGATTGTGGCAGTAAGTGACAAGGTTTAGTGATGGGCTTAGTAGGTCAGACTGATTATTTGACTTGGTGATCTTGAAGGTCTTTTCCAACCTAGATGATTCTATGATTCGACAGTATGTTCATCTGAGCCACCTTCAGAATAGCTCAGCCCCTTCTCCCGGATGAAATTAATTGCCAGCTGGAGAACTTCCTAGCTAAAGTTTTGACTTTTAATGACTATGGTTACTGCCTTCAGCAGGCCTCTTAGGGAAGCCAAGGGTGACTAGCCTAGACTTGTGAAGCACACTTCACTTCAGAGGTTTCCTTGCTAGTTCCTGGTGTCTTACCATTTCCTCCCTTATAGTCTCTAACACTTTCTAGAGACAGCAGAGATTTTCACAGATTGCAAATGTAGCAAACGAGCAGGACTTACAAAAGCTTTTAATTAGCAAACCAGTGACCAAAAGTAATGAAATACCTTAGAATTTGCAACAGATTGTGAATATTTTTACATGTCTTTTAAAAGTGTGGAGGAGTAATTCCCAAAGGAGCAAATGCAAGTATTCCAGAGGTTTTTCAGCAACAATATTATAAAACACTTCACATTTCACTGAAAGTGTTTTAAGAGGAAATTATGATCTTATTAGCATGCATATGCAGATATGCAAGATGAAGAAGGTGAGCAGGTTAGTAGGTCAATAATAGAAGTAGAAATAGAGTTCAAGCCTTTTGATCTTGGCATGAGTGTTCTGCCCCACAACACCAAGATGCATACAAACTAGGATGATGATGAGCACATACTGTCATTTATATCCTAAAAAAACTATTGTCTTATACATCTTTCCAGACTCGTCAAAGTTAACAGTGACCCAGAAAGCTGGCCGTATCAGCTCAATCCTGGGAGGATGCATCCTACAAATTATGTGTGGGTTATGAGGAAAGAGAAAATTCAGTTATTTACTGTGTTTCATTCACAGATGTTTAGAGATCCCACTTACTCATATGTGACAACTATTTTGTGTACTCCAATCACATACAAAACAATCTCCTATACTTATCATGTGAATATGCTGTGTCTTTCAGCTTCTTTACAATCTGCCATTACCATCTTCATTGCCTTTGTGTTCCTGACTAAAAAAAGCTCCTTAGCAAAAGTCCTTGAGAATCCTACAAGGCAGCATCCTTAAAGATACATGCATTTTTTCCTGTTCAATAAGTACATTGAAAATGCAGTGATTCCACGAATGGTCCTGTACTTACTTTTTTATTGTAATCAAAAGGTAGCTTTCTGAATGGCTTCAGATAACAGTAGAAAGAATTGTATCCAAGGCAGATACTCCACAATCCTAAGAACAGAGGCACAAACTTCTTTTTTTTTAACCATGATCGTATAATTTTTGTTACAGAAAATGGGGAGAAATACCTCGTCCTTTCTATTCTAATGCCTTAATTGATGGAGCTAACAATATACTCACCAGCAATAATGTAAAAGCCTCCTCCTGCCTTGTACAGAATGTGGCTGGCAAAAGGAGCTGCACAGATGATCAGGAAACTAGCCATCACAATAGTGATCACTCCCAGGAGCATAAGAACTGTCCAGAAACCTCGATAAACTGGAAAAAAGGAAGAAGAAGAATGCATATCACACTCTTTTAGAACTTAAACAAGTTACGTATTTGGCTAATAAAGATTTTTCTTTTCCACTTTTCCACTTATTGACAAACCAAACATTAATTCCACTGTGCATGTACATTATATATCATGTGGATCAAAGGAGATTCAGAACCCAGTTCCTATCTGGTGATTATGGAAAACAGGGTTTAAGTTATCTCAAATGAAGCCCACCTGCTTAACATTTAGTCAGTGACTTGAAAAACAGTAACTTGACAAAATTTATGATGTTTAGAAAATGGTGTACTGAAGTTGCAGCAAAGATTCTTTGGGAGAAATGATTGGACTGGCTGGATCTAATTGTTTTACCCAAATTGACTGGGAGAAACAGAGAACTATAACATTTTGACTTTCTCAGTGCTCAGATCCTATCACCAAAAGCAATCTGTAATTCTCTATAATTTTCAAGTATGTAATTCCTATTAGTTTATATACAACAGAAGGAAATCAAAAGCAGGAAAGAAGAGAAACTTAAAAAAAAAAAAAAAAACAAAGGTAACTTGAAAAACAATTTATAAACCAGGCTGTTTCCGTTCTAACGTTCTTTTTATTTTATTAGAATTTGATGTTTCAGAAGTCCCTGCTAGAGAGTGCCAAGCAGTGCTTAATTAATGGATGCAGCTGGTGATAAATGAGCCGAGAGTTTTGTGACATACTCTGGCCAAAAGAGTCTTTCTAACAACTATTTTTTAGCTGCTTAATTGCACATCCATTTAACAAAGTCATCATTTTACAAATGCTACAAGACTGACATAAATTTCTCCCATGAATTTAAAAATTGGTACATTAACAGAACCCATTAGTAAAATTATGAGTTGCAAAGATCTCCATCGTCAGTTCTGAAAATCTTGAAGCACTGACAATTCAGTCAGTAAAAAACATTTCCACCCAACTGAGGGAAAGCACATAAGCCAGCTGGCACGTCAGAAAAAGTGAGTCACAAAAGAAACTGCCACTTATCGTTTGACAGCACCTACTTACTGTTACAGCAAAACACAACTAAGTAACTATTATACTGGTTCATATCCTGAAAGTTACAAATCCATCCTGCCTGCTAAAGCCAGCTATTCCAGAATAATTCAGGTTTGCTCTCATCTGAAATCTGAAGGTGAACTACATGTTATCAGCTTGTGCTTCCCATCAGTATGTTTCAAAAATCTACAGTTTTCAACTTGACCAGCTTAACTCATGTTAAAGTATACATCATCTTGCTTATCTCAGCCTTGTATATGTATGTGTTAGTTAGATCACATTCACCACATCACATTAGCCACACTTTTAAAATAACACCCTTTTTAATCCAGGCAAAGACTCAGAGACATAATTTTCTGCCACACTGATCAGCAGATTTGGGCATAGGGAAGATGAATGTGTCTGAAATTAGCTGGCAGAGGAATAAAACTGTTTTTTGGTTCATATCCAATACACGGCTTCCTTCTATGTAAACAAATAAATAAAGAAATAGTAGGTGAGAAATGAGGCTCTGGTTCAGCAAAGCAGTTAAGTGTGTGCTATGCTTTAAGTACTCAAATTCTTAGGGGATTTAGGAACCTGTTTAAAGTTAAACACATAGTTTAATGATTCACTTGATGCAAATGGACAGTGAATGGAGGCTAGAGAAAGTAAATCTCTTAAGTCCTTCAGTCTTGGGTCTTTGAAGCAATTTCATATTATTTTACTCATGGGGCTACTTTGTTAAGCTCCATTGCAGTCCCCAAGTCCATGGGACATTACTTCCTCATTTAAAACCTAATACTGCTAAATCAGCCTATAACCACCCAACTCTTTTACGTGGATGGCCCAAGGTACTTCAAAGTCATGCTACATAACAGGGCACATTGGCCAAAATGAACTTTGAAAGGGCTTACTTCAGTATCATTATGGTCACTCACTGAAGTTATACAGCAGTGTTTCTAGAGATGGAAGAGGACATAAGCTTCTACAGCATAATGAAATTAGTGTGCAGTTTCATTATCTGCTCTTGACATTAGCTTTTAGTGAAATTTTATCAGAAAAGCTTGATTTGCTCAAATATTCCTGAAAAATAAACACAAAAGGAGTACAAATATAATTGATGAAAAAATGTTTAAACCTCTTTGTGACGATACAAGAGATAAGTAGTTTCTCTGCTTCAACAGAATAACTATTTTATGCATTATAAGTGAAATACTGATTTGACCTAGCTATCTTCTGGCATAACCTTCCATTGTATTCCTCTATAAATAATTATTTTCTCTAGAGAATTGTGGGGGTATTCTGACAGTCCTAACAGTTGTTTATCCAGTAACTCCATCATTAAACATCAATTAGAAAATAAAGACGATAGGTAAAAAAAACTGCAGAGTTCCCTAATCTATCTTTTTATGCAAAATCCTACCCCCACAGTCTACAAGACATTAAGATCCTTTGTGGCACAAGTCCAAGGAAACATCTTAAGAGACCCTGGAGCATGTCCAGAGAAGGGCAATGAAGCTGTGAGGTGTCTGGAGCAGAAATCTTATGGGGAGAGGCTGAGGGAACTGGAATTGTTCAGTCTGGAGAAGAGGATGCACAGGGGAGACCTTATCACTCTCTACAACTGCCTGAAAGGAAGTTGTGGTGAGGTGGGGTTGGCCTTTTCTCTCAGGTAACAGAGATAGGACAAGAAGTAATGGCCTCAAGGTGTGCCAGGGGAAGTTCAGGTGGAATGTTATGAAAAATTTCTCATCACAAAGAGTGGTGAGGCACTGAAACAGGCTGCCCAGGGAGGCAGTGGGGACACCATCCCTGGAGGTGTTTAAGGAAAGCGTAGATGTAATTATTAGGGACATGGTTTAGTGAGTAATATTGGTGGTAGGTGGATGGTTGGACTAGATGATCTGAGATATCTTTTCCAACATTAATGATTTTATGATTTACTAAAGGAGTTAAAAGGCAACCACTTTTTGCAAAGAAGACTTCACTTACTTCATATTCAGACAATTTTTGCTTAAGCAAGTTTCCCACCTGCTCTGTTTAGATGAGCAATTCCCATAGGGCTAATAATTCAAAATTACAGTATAACCCTATTGCTGTCATTAGTTTAGCTGGCATGAACAGATGAACAAAAAAGAGCTAGTTGAAATAAGCCTACCTAATAATGAACTTTCTAAGTCAAAGGCATCACTGCTCTGAGATTGAGGTGAACCATCACAGCTAAAAAGCAACAGAAAATGCTTTTTGAATTATGGTTCTTTATAGCCCCTGAAAAGGAATGATACTGTGATCCAAGCAGTCTGCTTCAATAAATAGTTGTTCAGTGCACCCATACTAGATGTTAAGAGAAGTCTGCATCATTTCAAGTATTGCTGAGGTAGTTCATAAGACTGCCCATTTTCTGGCCAGACAACAGTGAATTCACTTCTGCAAAAGGTAGTAGGCACTAAGTAAATTTACTTCACAGGTATGTCAGAATTATCTACCTCAAGTAGGTATATTATTCCAAGTATTTCCTGCAGTGGAAGAAATAAAGTATACGCATTACCACAGAGTCTGAAATAAAAATATTTGCAGTGTTAACCTTAGCTATCATTGCTCTATGTTGCAAGAGTAACTTGTCTTGGTAAGCTGTCCCTTCATCAGAGTACAACATTTGTCTTGGTAGTGACAGGCAGGCCTAAAAATAAGACAGTACTTAGAGGACAACAGGAGTACAGCTGGTATACTTGTCTTTGAGCTCTGCACCTTCAACCTATATGCTGTGGGGATAGTACAGCTGCAGTATATTCCTTCAAAATTGCATGACCTGTAATTCTGCCTTGCTACTGCTTTTCTCCAAAAACATCCTAAGTCAGATTCTTCTGGAGACTTCGGCACCATTTGAAAAGTAGCCATAGTATTGGGTTTTGAGCAAGGGAGTGGGTTATGGAGAAACAGTTGAGTTATGAAAAGGTTCCTTTTCTTATATTGTGGATCCCAGATCCACAATAAACTCAAGCCACAGTTTCATATTTTAAGATGTTACTGGTGCATGATGTGAAAAAGAAACAATAATACATTTGAAAAATTACACAACCATGCCACCTAAAAGGCATGACAGTTTTTATGTGGTTACAATGCACACCTCAAAAGTTACATAGTCATTCAGGAACAAGCTTAGCTCATGACACCATGTGGCACACATCTACTACTAGAGACACTGATAATAACCTCACGGAAACATATCATATATTTTATTGCCCTTGCTGGCTTCAGGAGTTTCAAAATCTCAATAGTGGAAAAGACTTGACCCATACATTTTCTATGGCCAAGAACTAAATCAAAACAAAAAAATCTGCTTAATATTGAACGCACATTATTAAGCCCTACAAAGCTGAAAATCTTTTTGAAGCATGTTTGTGTGAGTACAGTGCTTCATTGCTAATAATAGTTAAAATGACTTGGAGAACTTCCCAAAAATTTTCACCAATAAATTTAACTCCTAAAGTGAACCTTTCCTGTGATTTGAGATGGAGAATTTTAGAATATGCTTACCATTTAATGTAAGAGATATCAAAATTCTTTTGACAACAGGCATCAAAATGACACCCACAGTATAAAGTACAATGAAAGTTAAGTGCCTGAGCTGCTCTAAATCAGAAGCATCTTCTCTGCAGATAAGCCATTGTAAACAACACCACATCTCCCATCAGAAGCATGAGAGGCAACACAGTAAACCTTGTAAAACTGTTCCAGTTTCACTAAGTACCCTTTACTATCCCTTAGTAGTTATAATCTTTTTTTTTTTTTTTTTTTCAAATAACCTTAAGAGTAAAACAAATATAATATTTGCAGTATGAATATATTGCTTTTTTTAAAATACTTCCTGCTTCATTACTGCTTGGTGGCTGGGGAGTTCTCCCTCCATACATGTACTGTGTTACAATTTCTTATGAACAATTATATGGCCATCTTACATAACAGCATTTTTTTTTCCCTAAAAATAGGCTACTTTAGCATTTCACTAGACAATTATTGTTTTCAGATTTCACTGCTGATATTTCCTAGATTACTTTAGGTTAATTTTAGCTCAGTAACAAACGTGCCAGTAAACTTGATAACACCATTATAGATGCAGGAGTTGCTGAACCTGAATTTCTCTTCAGTTCTATAAACATTCTGTATTGCACATCATATTAGGCACTACTTCAAACACTGGGAGTGTGCCCAAGACTGGACAAAATAAGATATAAAGGCAAGGGAAAATGTACTAGCAGCTACAGATCAGAGTATTAAACTAAAGTGCCAGAACACTCCATTAAATGGCTCCAAATGTAGCTTCAGGCAGCACTGAGGCAATTCAGAAAGTTAAGGAACCACTGTTTATTTCCAAATAAACTTTGGGAAAAAAAACACCCCTCAAAAATAAAATTAATGACCTGAAGAAGTGCTAGATCTTGCACCTCTTTTTCTTAGAAATTATCACACGTTAGACAAACAGGACTACTTGTATGAGTAAGGACTTCAAACATTTTTCAAAACAGTTCTAGTATTGTCTGCTAGTACAAGAGATTTTTTACAAAACTGTGAGAGCCTTGAATGTCACTGTTAAGTAAACCAGTGATGTGATACCTTTAATTAACTTAGCTTGCAATGAGTTTTTATTTAAGTACTATACTATTATGTTTTCAAAATAGCATGATGGGATAACTGATCTAATTATGATTATACATATGTGTATGTAGGTATATTTTAGAATAATATATTTCAAATACAATAAACAAAAGATCACTACTCTGGTACTTTCACTGTATGGTCTTTTTTTTTATACCTAGCTTTCAGTCTGTTTCATTTATGTTTGTGAATCATCATAGAAATGAATCTCCTAGTGACACAGTGAAGTGCTGTCTGTCTGCTTAATAGCTGCACACTGGCATGGCTGTCACCATAAACCATTGTAACATCACAGAAAGCCACTGGAGACAGGATTCCCCTGACTTCACTTAGATTCCTGTTTCAGGTTAAGACAAATGGCATTGCAAATTTCTTTAAGTCCATCAGCTGTAAATGATGGCTGGCACAGCTATAGATTGAAGCTTACACTGCAGGTAGGTAAAGTACTCCTCCCTCCACCATAATACTTAACAAAACTAGATCATGAATAAAGCCATAATAATTGAGATTAAGATACAGAAAACTGCAATTTCAAATAAGTCCTTTCTAACCCTTCCAAGCGGATCACGCATCTGACAGTAACGATGAAAGGAAACCTGAGACATTAAAATATGCATTTGAATGAGACTATAACTCTTGACACGAAGAGCTCATAGTCTAAGTCTCCTCACCAGGCTGAACCAAGCCTTTTGAGTAAAGCATACTAACACTTCAGACTTTGAGGTCTTCCGTGTTTGAGTCTTTTGGGATCTGTCACATACACACCTTAAAACCACTATATGAAAGGATGTAAATAAATTAAGAGAGGATAGATTTAGCTTCTTTTTAATTAGTCTTAGAAAAAGAAAAAAAACTCAGCCAAGCTGTTTCTGATACTAAAGCCAAAGGAGTTATTGCAATAGAGAACTTGGTCCAGTCGCTCCACTCAAAATTCATCCAAGATTTCATGGTTCCTCAGGAAACTTATTTTTGCTTGAGCTATTCTAACTGGATGGTAACATAGCATTCTGGCTACAAACTATGCTTCTGTTTCCACTACGGGCTTCAATTATAGCCAATTTGCTCTGATAAGGCCCCACTGCCTCTTAAGACAAACTGTCTATAAAAGAATTCACATGCCTTTGCTTGCTGAGAAAGTTCTCTTAACAGAAGGCTTGAGTTTATAAGAAAATTGTGTTGCATATACAACTTCATTTCTCTAATGAAATTTAAAGCTTTTTATTCAGCTGTTTATTTTTCAGCAAATTGAATATTTTTCTTCTTATATATTCCTAATTAAAATAAGACATGAGGGTCTCTGTAAAAATAAAGTGAAAAATCATTCTGAAGAACTAAGTGTGGTAGACTTTTTTTATCCCCAGAAGTGAACATTTGGAGAAAACTATGATCCACAAAAATGGAAATATTCTATCCAGATACAGTAGCAGAACCAAAAAAAAAAAAAAAAAAAGGAACAATAACCCCAAATTCTTGGTAGTGCCCTTTCATTCTGTGTTTTTTATTCTTTTATTGAGATATTCTCATATCTAATATGAGAATATTAGATTCAGCCATGTGGATGTACAAGTAGTTGACAAACTATTTTTCTGCACGAAATTAAATGGAGGGTTTTCACCACTATCTTTTACAGAAAAGCATTTCCTTCACTGTGAATCAAGAAGGCAATAACTCTCAGTATTTCTTAATTCAGTAACTGTAGGTTTTAAAAAGCCAAATATAATGGACAGGCCTGTCAAAGTACACTATAAGAAAAAGGAGTGTTTGTACTAACAGAAAAGATGATATAATTTTCTTAATACAAAGTTGAGAAAGATTCTTAAACAAGTATACCTGCTCTGGTAAATAACTCTGTTTGGATGCTGAAAATGAACTGGAGGCATAAAAAAAACCTCTCTAGTTTTAATGAGATCTAAAGCAATCCAACTGTATCTATTTATACAGCAGGACTGACTCTGAATATTCTCTACCTGTGCCAGCATCTATAGTACAGTTCTGCCTATTTTTAATCTCCTAATATGAAATATAGATAGGAAAATTATATTTGAGCAGTGTTCTTTTGGCAAATATTAACTAAAATTAATTAAACTTTTGATGATATTCCTTCTCCTTTCTTCTTCTTTGTTTGTCCACTTCTATGTAATCATGCAATATGATTTGAAGATCCTTTGTGAATGTATGAGTGCATGGTTGAATACCAACTCCTTCTAGATTGTTAGGAGCAGATGGCTCTGTCATTTTCAAATGAAAAGATAAACCGTTCTAGATGTGCTTCAACATTACAGATTAGATCTCTGACTCTGAATGGTAAGGTATGAATTCTTCCTGGACAAACAGTTCATAATTTCTAAATATTAACAGAACTGTTAGCAATATAAATTCTTTTCCTTCTCATTTTTGTAGCATAAAAAATGAATTAGAAAGACACGTCAAAGTTAGCAAAGGTATAATTACAGCTTCAGGGATCACTTAAGTCATTGAGTCAGTAGGCTCAGATACAAGCAGCATTCACACAACGCAGGTTATTTTAAAAATTATATGAAATAATCATCAGAAGCTATAGTCTTAAAAGTACATTTGCATAAAGCCCTTGATCTGACGAAATGTGAACAATTTTTTGAGCTGAATAGAAAAAACAGAGCTTTCCAGAGCTTTCCTTATGTATTCAAACACAAAGTTTTCAGTGCTCTGAATACATACAAAATACATATATGTACGTATGTATCCCTGTTACTGCACCAGAGTTTCTTGGTATTAATATCAGCTTAACATAGTAAATATTTTCAAATACTAGAATTTAATTTACAGAACAATATTTCACACTACTACAGTGTTAGTTTATATTATTCATGTATGGTACATGATATTCAGTGTCAGTGTAGAGAAGCTGGTACCTCCAGCATTCAGTGCAGTATATTTGAGTTAGTTGAATAAAATTAGACTGTAACAAGTTCCCTCTCTTCATTTTTCATAAGGTAAAAATGCAGTATATTTCCACATGTGATTATTTATTTAATAAGAAACAGTTTAATTGGAATACATGAGAAGCAGTAATTGTATGAAGCATTCCTAAAGAAGATACTCTTTATTTTGAAGAAAAAAAGCATGAAAAGGAAATATTTCTGCTATAGAAATGATTTTCATTCTGCCACTATACTTAAAGCTACGCATTCATTTAAGTGTTTTGCTAAATAGTCTTAAATATGCATGTTGTAAAAGTCTGAGAAGTACGAAACAGCAAAACTGTATTAATTAAACTGTGTGGAGAGATAATACAGTTCTGCACTGAAGCATCTGAATTGTTTTCTTGAAATTATGGGCATTGTATCCATTTGGAGCCAAAAAAAATACTTACTGACTGCAGAGTCGTAAGAAGTTGAGTTGTGTTCATCTCGGATATGAGGAAATGGTGAGAGGTAAGCATGTGTACAAACCTTAGAAGGTGACTGATTGGCTAAAAGAAAAAGAGAGATCATTATTAATACTTTACTGCTTTGAGAATTTAATATCCTAAGACTGTTCTTCAAACTGATAAACAGAGTTTCACAGGTCAAGATTCAGTGTTCCCTCCTAGTAGCTTTACAGTGGATTTTGCTTTCGTAAGAGACAGCAGCCTTGATCTTCTGCCAGGGATATTCCTTAAAGGGCAGCTCAGATTTGTACTACAGGAACAGTAAAGCAGCCTGGTTGAAGGGAAGGATCTGGTATGCTGCACGTACATAAACTTTTACACGCATATGCTTTTTTCTGTTGCAAGGGTTAATTATTTCTTGCTCATTACAGCATATCCAAGCAATGTATTTAGCAAAATATGGGTTACTGAAGTTAAAATTGCATGAAAGCACCAGTTTTTCACTAGGTTTGTTAAAACTCAGCAATAAGGTTGGGTCAAACACAACAAGGTAAGATTTGCAACCTTTTCTTCATTTGAAATTTTGGTGGCAAATGCTATCTTCCAGAATCCTGGCACATACTGAAAGAAAACAGGTCATCAACACATTTAGTAGAGGTTGTTTTCTTTTTTTTTTTTTCTGAAGGAGATGTGTCCTACACCATTTTCACCTACTCATAGAACTAGCTGGAGAAACTGCAAGCAAAAACTCATGAGCCATCCTAACCATGAGGCTCTTTTTCCCTGCTTTACGAAAATGAACAGACCATTAACAACATAGCAGGAGACTGTCTTGATAAAAATGGACTCTCAGTTAAGATGACAGGCTACTACTGAAAGAGTAAGCTGATAGTTAAGCATGGATAATTTTGTTCTGGGATATCCTTTAGTACAGATTTTAAAAGTGTTTGTCGCTTTTGAATTTATTTGAAGATAGATTAAGAACCTGATCACTGAAGAGATCAAATGAAATTCAGTGATTCATAAGCACTAAGAAAAGCTCCACAGTTTTGAGATCCAACTATTGTAGATAACATAAAAAGAAAGGTATTACTTACTGTACCAGAACTTCCACATGCTGGTATTATGCTCTCTCACATTTCCACTAAACCAGCACCTCCAGAAGAAACCTTCATGATGAAACGTGGCCATCTCAGTCTATGAAAAGTAAAAGTAAAAATGAAAGTCTTTATCATACTATTTTTCAAACAGCTGAAAGAATGAAGTTCAAGTGAAATTAAGATATTTAGGTAAAAAATAACACCATCACAATGACACACAGCCTGTCTGAACGTAGGTTAGCTATAGCCTGTCTATACAGTTATAGTTCCTTTGAGAGAATGTCATATTGCAAAAGTAGTATCATAAAAAATTAATGAATTTTAGACTTGATTACAGCTGTTTAGAAGAGGTTTTGAAGTAGGCTTATAAACCTCCAGAATGTCAAAATGAGTATGTTCAAAATTTCATACAAAATAAATAAATCCAAGAAATTATAAATAAAAATCCATACTAACCCCAGCATCCTCAGGTGCTTTTGAACACCTTCCTACTTCTGTAGAAAGAAGCCAATAATCAGTTCCAAACGCCACCAAAAAGAGCAAAACTCCCAGAGCTGCGAATAAACCTCCAAAAAATATCCCCACACTCAGTTTCATTATAGAACTTATCCTCAGGAAAAAAAAAAAGCAATTTTTTTTTTTTCTAGTTACTTAAGAAGAAAAAGGAAATTATTAGGCAAGTGGCTAGAAAGTAGTTTGGAGAGTACGGCTTATATCTGAAGAAGTTTCTCTTTGCTTGACTTTCTGCTGTGTTTCCCAATGCCCTGTGAATTGATTTGTGTCTCCTAATTTGTGTTCCGTGTGGCTGGCTCAAGCCTGACAGATGAAAAGGGCCATCTATTTTAGGACACTGATGGCAGAGCTTCATTCTGTTTCTCTTTCTGGGCGAGGCCAGTCAGAAATAGCTGACCTTCCCCTAACTAATGAGGGATTGACTTGAAATATTATTGCAGCTGGTACATCAACTTCAGTGGAGCTGGAGCTGCAATAGCCCTGTCAGTCCATGCAAAACATGATACAGAGTGCAGAGACGCAATAAGGGCTTCTAAAATCCAGTACTGGTAGTGGAAGGTTCGCTGGCTACTAGCAGGGAATGAAACACACACATCACTTTGGAAGTTACTAGCAACCACTTTACTAAATAAAGGCTGAGATTTTGTGATGGAACTTTGAAAACATGGTAGCCAAATCACAGAGATGCCTTTGAGAAGTCCTGATCTGAATTATAAGTGCACTTAGTTTTAAGAAATTTATACCCATACCACACCTCCCCACACTTGGACAGAAACATTAATCTTTTTTCAAAAAGAAGACACTTTTCCACATGTATGTTGTGGCCATTTTGGAAGGTGATCGGGTGACATATATAAACTCTAAGGACTCACTGCACAAGAAAAAGGCTTTTCCAACAATTTCTTGTCATGCCAAGCAGTCCTTCCTTAGCATCTCCAGTGGACCACAGAGCAAGCTTCTGTAGAAATTCACCGAGTTTACACAATGCACTGGATCCTGCAGTCCTTACCCAGTGACATTCCATTGGCATTATCTATCAATGGAGTAAATAATATTCCATTATATTCCTACACTGGGAAGTGCTGGGATCAAGAGAAAGATGAAGTCAGTTCACCCTAGAAAGTCTTTGCCACAGATTTTTTTGCAGCAGACTTAGTTCTCCAGACTGGTATTCCTACTGCTTGGGCAGTACAGCAGCGTACTGAAGGAAACTAATAGAACAGACTGATTCTACCCTCTCTAATATCCAGACAAATGAACCAGAGATGTGTCCTCAGTGCTTTTATGATACTACATCATCTGCCTAATGCCATATTTACAAGTTACAATTCACATTCTATCCAAATTTGATACTACAGTAATTTAACACTAGCGTTTCTGTAATTTTTTTTAGACACTTCTGCACTGCATAGTTTCAGTGTACACAAAACAGTAAATAAATTTCCAGTCAAACAAACTTTTTTTTTTTTTTGTTATATTTGCTTTCCCTGACAGACACTGATGTAGTACATTTTTGCTATACCTGAAGGTGGTGATCTTTGGAGAGTATGCTATTAAAGAAAAATAAATAAAAATCTATTCAGGAAAAGAAGAAAAATATGTAGTATGCCCAGGGAGGAGGTGGAGTCATTGTCCCTGGAGGTATTCAAGAAATGTGCTGATGTGGCAGTGAGGGACATGGTTAGCGGACATAGTATGGATGGGTTGCTGGTTAGACTGGATGACCTTAGTGATCTTTTCCAACCTTACTGACTCCAGGATTTTAAGAATGTGTGGGAAAATAATGCATATTTTTGAGCATGTTTTTAGAAAACAACTACGTGCCGCTTAGAAAAAAAATTGTAAGAAAAAAAAACAGAAAAAGAACAACGGAAGAGTCAGATTCAGTGCAGGACTTACCTGTCTAGATGTAAACAGTTTTGTGTGAGCTACATGTCTATCCAATATAGCTCTAGTAAATACAAATGGTGGAGCCTGGAGAGAAGCTTAGCGTGACCTAGATCCAAAGAACTCAGGTTCAATCTCTCACCTAGACACCTAGCTCCACTGATTTCTCAGAGTATCCTACTGGCTTTCAGCTGCCACTCCATAGAATCATAGAATCCTTAGAGTTGGAAGGGACCTTTGAAAGTCGTCTAGTCCAACTCCCCTGCAGTGAACAGGGACACCACATCTAGATCAGGTTGCCCAGGGACTTATCCAGCCTCACCCTGAAAGTCTCCAGGGATGGGGCATCAACTATGTCTTTGGGTGACTTGTTCCAGTGCGTCAGCATCCTCACTGTAAAAGACAGTATGGAAGAGAATACCAACTGGACAAGGTTTTGTACAAGTACTGCGAAAGGCATGGCAGAATTTGGTGAAAATAATACAAATGCTTTTATTATGTGCTGCTATTCATAGGAAGCAACAAGGAAACCGTGGCACACAATGACAAAATACCTTTTTCAATGTTTTATCTGAAGTGAAAAGAGAACTCCAGTCTCCTGACAGCCACTGAACACAAATAATGAAAGAAATAAAATGGTTGGTTTCATCCTTACTGCACCTACCTGCCTCCAGGTGACTTCAGGTCAGACAAAAGAAAACACATCAGTGGCTCTGTGAACTCATTTCTGCATGGAAGTAACATACTTTCGTGTGTAGCTTCACAGAAATCAGTCTGTATGAAGAGTTTCACTATATGTGAAATGACAGCTGAAGCTCTGACTATGTAGTAAAAGTATTTATTTTTAATATACCATACATGCATTCTGGTCTCAGCATAGAATGTTCTTCCTGAGAGGATCTATTTTAATTATTCTCTTTTACATTTATGGCACATTCTCTGGCAGCATTACCTTCCAAATAGTCTAACACCTCCAGTACTATGCCTGACTATGGCAGGAATGAATCAGGAGACATATTCATATCTGTTATATCATCATAAAAATTCACCTTTTACACTACTTAAATGCTCACAGAAAGTCCCAGGGTGCATTTTCTTAAATTAAATTAAATTCCGAATGTTCCTACAGAATATAAAAATGTTCAAGGCAGTGAAAATTGGGCTAGGCTTATCAAATAAAAACAATCATTAATATGATTCTTAAACAAGTTAATTCCCCAATTCCTTCCAACACTCCTGCAGAATTTCTACAGAAAGATTGACACTTTAAAATCAAAGCCAAATTTATCCCAACCATAATGACTATGATATAATTAAATCAGTTTTAACATACAATCAATTTGGCCAATTACGCCCAACAGGCATTGATTTTGTTGATTCATAGCGTGAAGATTGAAGGCTCTCCATAATGGATATATTCCAGTCTCATTGAACAAAGCTGGCAAAAGTTTTATGATTTTATTTCTGTTTAATTTTCTTTTGCAGATAAGGCTAAACTAATTCCTAAATCTGCATATTTTTGTTTATATACGTATCTAAATGGTTCCAGCATCAATATACTATCTGAGCCCCTCCTCGTATTTAAAAATAGAAAAGAATTAAAAACAAAACAATAGCAGGCTATTTCCTCCTTTTCTATCTGAAGGAGAAAAAGCTTGATTAGTTTATGGGAGGAGGGAGCTGTTTATTTGCTTGTTTATGTTTATGTGTGATTGAGTAAATGTCATGTGTGTACATTTAGAATTGGCAAGCAGCTTCTTATCTGTGCTGGCAGATATGTCCATGATCTGAAACAGACTTTTAGAACCATCTGCATGTCTCACTACATACCAAAAAACAATTTCTCTAGCTGCCTCAGAACTGGGTCCTTCTGAAATCCTGAAGCTCATTTATTGCTGAAGAAAAACATTGTGAACATCTACAGAATATATCTTCCATTGATTCAGATCCTTATCCTGTCCATCCTTCCCAGCTGGGTAGCACATCATACATTGCACCTACAAGATCAATTATCAGCAGTGTGCTGGGCAGACATACAGAGTATATAGAACACCTTGTCTACTAAGTCCTTGGCTGGGATTCATCTTACCTAACACTAAGCAGCTGCAGTGTACCTGCCTTCAATTAAACTTGTCACCTCAGTTTTCTTTTACAGTTATACTGGCACTTCTAGGACACAGTCCACCTGATCTATTTTTGGATGACTACTTCAATGTGCAATGCATTACACCCTAGAAGTACATTTCTTTATTTTTTTAATGACTTTTTCTCTCCACTGAATAAAAGGGGCCTGGAATTATTAGTTTGAGATGTAATCACTTCAAAATTAATACTATAGTAAATCAGGTCACTTCTCACAGAATCACAGAATGGTTGAAAAGGACCTCTGCAGGTCATTTGATCCAACCCCTTACTCAAGTATGACAATCTAGAAATGCTTGCCCAGGTCAATGTCCAGGTGGCATTTGAAGATCTCCAAGGTGGAAGACTCCACAGCCTCTCTGAGAAACCTGTGATAGTGCTTTCTCATTCTCACAGTAAGAAAGGATGCCCATTGTCTCCTGCCCTGTCACCAGGCATCACTGAACCTCTGCTCATTCATAATCTGATGCAAGCCTGAGCAGCCTCACATCGTAAGAACAAGCTTTTCCTGCTACTAAAGCTCATTTTTAGAACTACCTCCCATTATCAAACATTATCCTTCAGTTATGACACCATAACAAGTCATAACAGTGAATTAGTATTCATACCACATAATTTTGATACCACTGCAGCTTCTAGGTAATGGAAAAAAAAAAGGTAAGAAACAAGAGGACCATCTAGATGTACTTCTTATACAGTACTTCTTGGTACATCTCCATTCACAATTTCAATCTGGAGACATATCCAAAAATTCTGAATCCACATGCTGTTTTCCATTTCTGAGTATGTATTGCTTTACTGATTTAATTAAAGAACCATCCAGTAGAAAGTCAAGTATCTTACAGTGAGACAAGTATATAATATTTGCAGTATCAACCAAGTAATTCTGCCCTAAGAGATATATTAGACTGCTTCTATTTAAATAAGACAGTGATAAATAGACTTCATTATATTTCATACCTTTAATTCTTTGTTGGTTAATCTCTTATCAGACATATCATTTTTATTTGGGAGATTTATCCTATTTTTTTTAATTGCAGTGAGAGAAAAAAAAA